GCGTCGATGCGTGAGTTGAAATATTTTGAAGGAGATATTATCTTAATGTTGTGGGACCCAATGGGCGGGTGGGTATTTTTCGATGTCTTAAGACACCTGCTCTTGGAAAGAATGCTGGGACTTGAGATGCTGAACCCTAAGCCCTAAACCCCTAAACCCTAAACCCCTAAACCCTAGACTCACCATGTCGTTTTGAATGAAGAGGCCTTGGGTTGGTGCGGCCGGTCAGCCGAACATTGCCACGTGGGCTTTGGTTTAATGTAGACTCGTAGACCCTTTGGGTTTAGGGTTTAGGGTTTGGGGTTTAGGGTTTAGGGTTTAGGTTTTGGGGTTTCGTTTTGAGAATTTAGGGTATAAACCCCTTCCCTTGAAGGGCCTTAGTATTAGGATCCCTATTGCAATCCCCTATAATGGGGAGGGGGTTTATGAATCACGGCTCTTGATTTGGGCTTATGTTGTTGAGAAGTTTGGTTTAGGGTTTTGGGGTTAAAGGGAGGACAAGTGCCTGTTTAGGGATTGGTAGAGTTCAGCACTTACTGAATATGCGGGAACAGGGAAGCATGATCTAATTACAGCTCGATTTATTGCATAACTGCACCCATTCTTAGGGGCCTGCAGGGAATTATTACAGAGTTAAAACTGCAATTTTCATCGCGTTACAAGTACCCTGAGCCTCCAAGTGTTTTACGCATTCTTCAAGGTTGTTTAGCACTCTGGCTCTGGAACCTGCTATGCTCTTTGTTCAAGCCCATTCCCAAGAAATGTTCAGGTGTGTAGTTTTCCATGTAAGCTAAGACTGAAACCATGGGCCCCTAGTATGGGCCCTTAACCCTGGAGCCCATATATATGTACCCTTAGATACCTCAAAACCCTGAAACTGGAACACCGCATCTTGTATAGACCTACCCTGCCCAGACAAACATTGAAATCCCATGTTGCCCCCAGTCAAACGCGCAGTACTTTATGTAAAGCTCGTTTTGGGCTCATGCTAGTTTGAAGGAATGTCCGAGACTGGAGGCCTGGAAGTCCCAAACAAGTTTTAGGGTTTAGGGGTTTAGGGCGTAGGGTTATTATGGACCTCGTCCACTAGCGCATCGTTTAAAAGTCTAATCACGGTGTATGCTTTTGCAGGTCTTCTAATAAGGAGGATCCCCTGATACAAGAATACCTGAGGTTTACTGTATGTTCGCTGCCTACGACTGCAGAAACCCTTCGGCCTTACAGAATGCTTACCCTCAGGCCTTTTTAGGCTGGGACATCGAAGCAACCGCCCGCCCATCTACTAAAAGGCCTATCATGTAAGTTTGTCCCAGTAATCTGGGAGGGCTTCATCCGAAAAAACAGGTTCATTGTCCATTGAACCCTTGGCCCTTCCACTGCCAACCTATTCCCGAGACCTTTAACCCTTACCCTTAGCCCTAAACTCCCCATCCCCTATTCCTTCAGCCTTTAAATCAAACCCTCAACAACCTAAACGCAAACATCAAACCCCTTGTACTCCACCCAATGCCAGGCAAGTGCGAGATGTGTGCAGATTACCGAAGCAAGGTGAAGGTGCCACTTGGGTTTAGGGTTCAGGGTTTACGATTTAGGGTCTAGGGTTCAAAGCTCACCTTCCCCGATTGACCACGGCATTTTGTTTTTTGGGGGTGTATAAGGGTTTAACGGTCAGAGTTGCTAGCGCTTAGGGCTTTTGAGGATTTAAAAGGTCTACTGTTTACGCGGTTTTCAGGGTCTAAACTTCTGGGTCAAGGGTTTTTGGTGGGTAAGGTTCCTGTTGAAAGGACAAATCGCCAATCGCACCACCATTCCGGATTCCATGTGGTGTGGGAGACCCACTGGAGGAGAGCTTGTGCAGGAGGTTAAACAAAGACTTGCCAAGGACAAATCTGCTGGAAGTTCCTCCTAAACCCTTAATCCTACATCCCTAAGCCCCAAACCTCAAGTGTCGTTTGAGTATAGGCTGGACGTAAGGGTGGGTTAGACGCCCACCCAGCAATTGAGGCATAATAGGAGTATATGAGCTACGGACTAAATTTAGGTGGGGGGACCTAGAGGGGACTATATCGGGTTTGGGGGGGTACCTATTTAAGAGATATCTTACAAACCCTAAACCCTAAATTTCGTCCAGGGCTCATATAGAAACCTTTCGCTTGATTACCGCCATCGCGTCTGGTCGCTACTGACCTGGGTTGCTGTTGAGGGACTTAATTTAGGTTCCTCGATTGGGGAACCATAATATTATTTACTATATGGGTATTTCTCAATATAACCCCTATATAATCCCCTGAAGGGGGCCCTGTATAATCCCCTTATAATCCCTCTATACCCCTTGGGGTCCCTAGGGCCCCCCCTTTTTGAGAAACTCCCATATATACATATACAGCCATTATGGTAACTTAATTTTCGTTCCTTGGATCCCTATATTCCCCCAGTTTCCATGTCATTTTCCATTTTCTCTTCCCTTTGATTCTCCACTATAGGGGGACAATATAGCTTAGCTTAAGTTCCTTAACAGCAACCCAGTAACAGGATGGGTAGGGATGGGCTTCCGCGTTTCTTAGAGGCCCAGCGTCGCAGCGTTCAGGGCAAAAGGATGTGCATTAGGCTTGGGCTGAGGCACTTAGGGTCTGGGGAGTGCCATGGGGACCAATACTTGAGACATTGGGAAAAACTTTAGGGTTTAGGGTTTGAGGGTTTAGGCTTTAGGGTTTGAGGGTTGAGGGTTTAGGGGTTTAGGGGTTTAGGGTTTAGGGTTTAGGGGTTTAGGGTTTAAGGGTTTAGGGTTTAGGGGTTTAGGGTTTAGTGTCTGACAGTCCTCGACCTAAGCAACGCCAAACTCCCCGGCAACCGGGCCAACATGTGATGTGCTGTTGCAATTGCTAGATCGAACCTCCTCAGTGTCGCCTGATATCTACTGACATGAAAGATTCGGCGTGAGAATTTACATGTCACAACCCCTAAACATGGTCCAGCAAAAAAGTCCCTGAACCAAGCGTTGGGGTGCCATTTAAGGTGTTGAAGCCCCTATATTTCCCCAGTTTCCATTTCATGTTCCATGTTCTTTGCCGTTTGGTTCTCCAGTACAGATCTATAATATGCATCCATTTGATTTTCACTATTGGTGTATTCCCCTACAGCCCCAAAAATCAACTCAAGCCTCAACACGCCCCTGCCCCGACATTAGGGTTTAGAGTTATCGCTTCTTGACGACCCCTAAGGTGTGTAGAATCATTTTTTGGGGTTTTTGAACGCCCACAATCCTAAACCCTAAACCGCTTGGTGTTTTTTTTTCCTACTTTTCAGGTGAAGGTTGGTGGTTGGTTCATGGGAGCTATAGTCTAAACTCCTTGAAGGGGGATTTTATAGAGGAGGGTGAAAAGGCTTATCGAGGGGGATACTAGGAGTTTAGACGTTACATAAACCCCAAACCCCTAAACCCAAACCTTTCTAGCTCATGTAAGGTTTGTTCAAGGTGTAGGGGGTTAGGGTGAGGAGTGGAGATAAGGTTTGGGGGTTTAGGGTTTACAGTTGGGGTTTAGGGTTTAGGGTTTGGGGCCTGGGGATTTAGGGTGTTCAGTTCTGGGAAGGTGATTTCTCCAGCCCCAAACCTCCTAAACTGCAGCCTGATTTTTCGGGATCACAAGACCACGCCTCGAAACGTACCCCCCAGGGTGTAAGGAGTTAATGAGGACTAAAGGGCTTATTGAGTCCCTAAACTCACAGATCTCTCCCGCCAAAGCGTTGTTGCCCAAGCTCTTATCTCTGAACTTGGCCGACCCAGTGTACGGTTTAGGGTTTAGGCCTTAGGGTTTAAGGGTTTTAGGGGTACCTACGTTCCTAGCAACACTAGTTTAAACCTGGCCGTGAGATCACCATGAAGCGGTTCAAGCTGCACAAAGCCAAAAGGGAGTCTTGGCAGGAATGGTGCGGCACGGGTAGAAAGTAGACTAAACTTTAATGGGCGCGCAAGATGTCCAGAATTCTCTACAGCTTTGCAAAACGACTGACACCTGTGCGGAAGTAGACTGGCATTTGCATGGCCTCAGCCTTTTGCAGACCAGTATTTAACTAAGAACATACCACCTTCGACTAAGCATTGTTTCAATTCCACACAGTATATCCAGTGCAGACTATCTTTTCCTGCTAGTTGGCCTACAAGTGCATCTCCACGGTGCTGCACAGGTATAACGTAAATGACATAGAAGATGGGAACCCTAAACCTTAAACTTCCAGACGTCTGTCGAGACGGTCAGGCTTTTTCTGTGTTTAAGGTTTTGGGGTTCAGGGTGGATGTCAAGTCATTTCAATCTAAGGCTTCCACAGGACCAGGTTTGGAGTTCAAAGGCTAGAATTCCCGTGAGCTCCGTACAATGTAGAAACAACAGCGAAAACATGCAAAGCAGCTAGTTTCATTCAGAAAGCACCCCCTCACGCCTGAACCCTTATCTTGGCGCTGCCCCATTGCGAGTTTCCAGCATCGAGCGCTGAGTGTTGTGTTGCATGTCCGAGTGTCTGTCGAGAAGTCTGAGTCACAGAGAAGTTGCCTAACAATGTGATTTGAAAGGAACTTTACGCCCTATAAATCCTAAACCTAAATTTTAGCCGTGTCAAGTTTCTGGGCCTGTCTCCAAAGTTTCTTCAAGAGCTATGTGCCAAAAAACGGAGCTTCCGTGAGGGGTCCCCATAGTAAGGCAGAATCTGTTAACTCCTTAAGATTTAGCTTGGACCTTAGACCCGTAACCTTATTGCATTCCCTTATACTCCCTAAACTGTAACCCTAGTTCTAGGTACCTAGGGGTTAACCCTGAGTAGGGGTCCTAAGTGCCACGTAGTTACTTCGTGGCGGACTTAGGGATGTTAGTTTAGGGTAAAGGGTTTAGGGGGTTTCAGTGTATTCTCAGAAGTCTGCTTCCGCCCCCCTAAACCCTACAGGCCGAACAAGATTGGCCCCTAAACCCTAAAGCCTAAACCCTAAACCCTAAACTTAAAACCCCCGAACGCCAAAGCTGAACCCTGGGGGTGACACATGAATCCTTTGCTAAAACATCAATGAAAGCTTTCCACAAGACTGCGCCAGCTTACTGGGAGGGTTCAGAGTAGGTTTAGGGTTTAGGGGTTAGGGTTTAGGGTTTAGGGAATTGTACCCCCAGTACATCTGGTACCTCTAACCCGATGAGAAACACATTAATGACTTAGGGGGCTTATAGGTCATTTCTAATTCCTAAACCCTAAGCCCAAAACCCATAATTGGGTTATAAGTACACGGTTTTAATCCACTACCGCGAGGCTCAAAGCGGTTTACCGGCCTCCCGCCTCTGGGGACATTACAATCCACGTGGTTTGTGGGTAAGGTTTTGGGGAATCACTCTATACTAACACTAACCACAGCCTGGTAACCATTATTCCCCGAATGAGACCTTGCGTTTTTGGGGATGTCTAGAATGTTATGGGTGAGGAGGGCGGGGTGTTCAATATCAGCATGGAGGGATTGACCGGTTTAGCTTTCCTGGGCGCCTCTATAGGGGTGGACCCCACAGGGGCTTCCCCGCGCCGAAAAACATCCCCGCGCCCCCCCTTGAAGATTGATGATCCCAACATGGCACCAGTGCGTCTTGACAAAAAATATTGGTAAACCCCTAGACACTGAACCCTAAATTGGTAGGGGGATGGGGGTTTTTTAGATGCAGATAAAGAAGCACTGTCACCGTGGAATCCATGCTCAGGAATGCCAAACCATTTCGCTGGACCTAGGGGAGTTTACCTCTCCCGAGGCTGGCATTGGGATGTTTTAGGGTTTGGGGGTCAGGGGGGCCTTGGCAGTTACCCTAAACCCTCAATCCTGGTGGGGGTGGGCTTGGAAGTTTCGACGACGATGCTGGCGCTGCAGTGTCTGTGATAGCGGGTCCGAATCACTTGCAGATGCAGAAATGATGTCGTATTTCTGGTATTGTTCGTATTATTGGGATCATTCGTATTATTAGCATTATTCACCTTAGATGTATGATCAGTGTTATTCGTATTGTTAATGTTGGGGTGACCTACTTTGTTCGCATTTCTTTCGGTCAGACGTTTTGGGGGGCATATGGGCTATAGTCTAAACTCCTTGGAGGGAATTATATAGTGTAATATATACGGGAGTATTAGTGTAGGGTTTCTCAAGCGGGGATACTAGGAGTTCATACTATAGTTCATATTAGGAGGAGCTGCGCGGACTTTGCAAGCTCCATATTGAGTTTTGGTCTAAACTCCTGTATCCCCCTTAATACCCCCTATAATATAGGGTTTAGGGTCTAAACTCCTAGTATCCCCCTTGTTAATGTAATAACCGCTATAACAGTCCCCTATATGATCCCCTATGTAATTTCCTTGGATGAGTTTAGACCCTAATCCCTAAACCCTGAACCCTAAACCCTAATCCCATTTATAACCCCTCTTTGGGGAGTTTAGAGTATAGCTCA